CTCTCCTCTCAACACAAGAGTCCAGTTCCTTCACACTCACACTTGGCGCTCAGCGCCCAGCCTACTCCTACACAGCTACTACAGACTACGAAATGACAATGCAACTGTTGACATCAGCGGCAGCCCAAAGTACTTGAAGATGTAGCCCATGCAGACCATCGCCGATACAAGGTAAGTGCCCTCACATCATCATCATCATTATCCTTCACCTATCCCCTGACTACACCCACGTTTGTCCTCTGTTTCACCCGAAGACCATCCCTGCGCCTCACTGTAGTCCAAGCCCACCAGCTATGGTGGCTGGGCTATGGCGCTGCCCTCAGCAGCGCCCTTCTTCCCTGCACGACCGCACGTGCTGCACCTCGCCTCTCAGCGCCAGCCAGCAGCCGCGAGCCATTGCTCCAGCAGCGCTGCCGCTAGCATGCGAGTGCCTGAATGAGGCTGCCTGGCCAGAGCTCTTTCCTTTATGGAAAGAACTGGCCTGCTTGCGCAGCCTGGCTGGGCTGGCCTGGGCCCAGAAGCTTCCGGAAGGCCCCAGGAGGCTGCCTGGATGCAGCAGCTACTGGGCTGCTGGGCCTAGTTCGGTTGGGCGCCCAACTGTCTCTGTATGAGGCTGCGAATCACGCCCAGGGCCTGCATTCTTTGGAAAGGCCCGGAAGGCCGTGGAAATGTCTTTGTTGCTCGGCCTATGTTTCTTTCAACCAACTGGCGCATCGCAACTGCCTGGACCCCAAATATGAAATTGACAGTCGAGGGCCTCTTGCAAAAAGCCAGGCCCGCCTTCACTTAGGGCGGGCACCTCCGCCTTCACTTCGGGCGGGTAATGCTGCAAACAGGGCCTCATAGGCCTACAGAGGACCCTGATCCTCGCACTTACTTGACCCCTCCCCGAGAAAGCCATAGTTGCCTGAATATGTCAATAGTAACCCCCTGCCCCCCTCTGGAAGCCCCCTGAAAAATATTGTACCTTGAAAATTTTATTGCGGATTCGGACAGCCCTTGAAGAGCGTAGTCGGAATCTGCCCCAAAAACAAAAAAAAAAAAGATATTTGGGCACTTTTTTTCAAAACCGGTTTCCCGGTCCACCCCCCCTGGGCTGGTCCGGCTGCAGTTGGACCGGGGTAGCTCAATCGGCGGGTTGCCGGCCCAGCACTGCTGTACGGGCAATATCAGAGTCTCCGATGATGTTTCCCTCCGAAGGGGGGAGGTACTGGTTGCTTGGAGGCCGCGCGGCCTGGGAAGTCACTTGCCAAGAGGCAAGCAGGCCGCTACATCTCCAGGAGGAGCGAAGTGCTCCTCATTGCCAGTGTGCAAGTTTGGCGACACACTGGTTGGAGCGCTGGCTGGATCAGCGCTAACATCAGAGCAGCGCTGCTGGGGAGGAGCAAGGACAGGAGGAGGAAGAATACCAGGACTAGGTAGGAAGGGGGACTGCCAGAGGTACTTACCTGGCTATGGTGGTTGCCATCTTCATCACCTTGGTGGGTGCTACAGCAGGAATGCCCCAGTTGGGGTGGAGCTACACCAAGAAGCTTCCAGGCAGAGTGAGGCATGGCGGCCTGAGCTAGAGCGGCCATAGCTGCTTTGTGTTGTCCTTTGCACAGCAGGGCGATGCCCTGGTAGTCCGCCTTAGCCTCGGCCTTGGAGTGAGGAGAAAGAAGGGCAGCCATGTGCAAGGCTAGAGCCCCGATGGAACCCCTTTCTCGGCCCTGCTGTACAGGCCGTCGGCCGCCCTAAGTGAAGGCAGGCTCGACGAGGCCCTCAGGGCCCTTTTTCGGCCACTGCACAATCAAGGAAATTCAGGCAGTTGCGCAGCGCCAGTTGGTTGAAGAAAATCCAGGCCCTGGGCCGCCTGTGCGA